CCTCTACTTCTAGCTAACTGATGAAAATATCCAGGATAGCAGGTCTGGGGCCCGGTGCCATGGGTCATGCCTCTAATTCTAGCACTTGGTTGGATCACCTGAGGTCAGGAGTTCAAGATGAGGCTGGCCAACATGTTGAAACCCCGTCTCCACTAAAAATACAAAAAAAAGCTGGGCGCGGTGGCTCAAGCCTGTAATCCCAGCACTTTGGGAGACCGAGATGGGCAGATCACGAGGTCAGGAGATCGAGACCATCCTGGCTAACACGGTGAAACCCTGTCTCTACTAAGAAATACGAAAAACTAGCCAGGCGAGGTGGGCACCTGTAGTCCCAGCTACTCGGGAGGCTGAGGCAGGAGAATCCCTTGAACCCAGGAGGTGGAGGTTGCAGTGAGCCGAGATCACGCCATTGCACTGCAGCCTGGTCAACAAGAGCAAAGCTCCGTCTCAAAAAAAAAAAGAAAAAAAATATCCAGGGTAATCTGAGATCTTGGATATTTAGAGACATGGTTGCGATGAGGGATCTTGGTAGATTTGATTCTGTTATCATTTGGAACTTTCCAGAGTAGAGGATGACGCTTTTGTCTTTGAGCCACTTTCTAGAAACCAGAATTTACTGTCAGAGAATATAGGATTTTCTTTTTTAAAACTTTGAACTTAAAATGATTACAACAATATTTTAGCGATATTCTAAAAAATATTTAAAAATATAAGTTTTAGAAATTCGTTAGATGAAAAAATCTCCAAGGATAGTAACATTTAAATGAGTAACGTTTTCGTTTTCCTCTGAATGTTGTTAAAACAGACAAGGTACTATTAAAAGGGCGGGGGGAATGAACGTATTATGGGCTTTTCCCTTTTTTACCCTTTATCTACTTGTCTGTAGATTAAAGTAGGTATTTTTTTTTTTGAGACAGAGTCTCGCTCTGCCGCCAGGGCTGGAGTGCAGTGGCCGGATCTCAGCTCACTGCAAGCTCCGCCTCCCGGGTTTATGCCATTCTCCTGCCTCAGCCCCCCAAGTAGCTGGGACTACAGGCGCCCGCCACTTCACCAGGCTAGTGTTTTTTTTTTTTTTTTAAGTAGAGACAGGGTTTCACCGTGTTAGCCAGGATGGTCTCGATCTCCTGACCTCGTGATCCGCCCGTCTCGGCCTCCCAAAGTGCTGGGATTACAGGCTTGAGCCACCGCGCCCGGCCCTAAAGTAGGTATTTTAATCTTTTGTATCTCTGGGCTCTGTTTCTTGTAGTGGGTATGCTTTTTTTGTTGTTACTTGTTTTGTTTTGAGACAGCAGGCTGGAGTACAGTGGTGCGATCTCAGCTCACTGCAACCTACGCCTCCCGAGTTCAGGCAGTTCCCCTGCTCTAGTAGCTGGGATTACAGGCACGTGCCACCATGCCCGGGTAATTTTTTGTATTTTAGTAGAGATGGGGTTTCACTATGTTGGTCAGGATGGTCTCGAATTCCTGACCCTCGTGATCGCCTGCCTTGGGCTCCCAAAGTGCTGGGATTACGGACGTGAGCCACCGCGCCCAGCCTGTAGTGGGTGTGTTTTCTAATTCATTGCTACTCTACTTGGTTTGTTCTCTTTTTTGTGTCAGCTATGCTGGTGAATCTGGCTGCCTTATTTATCTAGCCTCATTTGCGTTTCTTGTGTTTTCTTCCAGATGACTCGTGTGTTTTGCTAGTAGATATATTGGTTGGTTGGCTCCTTTGTTCTGACAAATCAACATAGAAGTGACTTGTTACAGTGAGAACTGGTAATGACAGGAACCATAACAGCATACCAATGGTCTTTGATAAAGATAGTAAATGCACATGGTAGAATAATTTAAAGGTCTTGGTTGGAAGCCCTCCCAAGAGTAGTTTGCAAGTTTGAGGTCCGGTTTAGGAATAACATCTGCAACCTTTAGCTTCACTCCTGGGAGAAACTTTGGATACATTTTACTTGCCTCTCTTGAGCTTCAGTTCCCGTATTTGCAAAATGCCATGACTTATCTCTTAAGAATTTAGTTAGAATAAAAGAGATACCATAAGTTAAAAGAATACTTGGTTGTGCTCCAACATGTGTCTGTATCTGGAATAGGCTCATATGTAATTGGTAAATAGAATTTTGTCAGTACAACAAGGAGATTGCTCTGGTTCATACGTGATTTTCCCCAACATATTCATGTTTTGCATCAGGTAACAATAGTCGAGCTCAAAGTGCATTAAGAGCTGAATGAAACAAGCCATGGTGGCCACTTGTGAATTCTTCCTGTTGGCCTAATTTGGCCATGTTTTTAGTCTTTGAAATTTTTGGAAGGGCTTATTGTGCGATTCTCCCCCATCTCTTCGCAACTCCAAGTATTTTTTTGTTTGTGTGTGTGAGATGGAGTTTTGCTCTTATTGCCCAGGCTGGAGTGTAATGGCATGATCTCGGCTCACTGCAATCTTTGCCTCCCAGGTTCAAGCAATTCTCCTGCCTCTGCCTCCCGAGTAGCTGGGATTACAGGCACCTGCCATCATGCTCAGCCAAGTTTTATATTTTTAGTACAGATGGGGTTTCACTGTGTTAGCCAGGATGGTCTCGATCTCCTGATCTCAGGTGATCCACCAGCCTCGGCCTCCCAAAGTGCTGGGGTTACAGGTGTGAGCCACTGCACCTGGCTGATAATCATGTTATAAAAGAAACCACAGCAGTTCCATGGGTGAAGAATATTTATACTGTACCCAATTTGATCCTGAAACCTTTTCAACAACTTGTCTTAAAATATTGACCCATCTCCTTTATTTTTCCAATAGATGGCTGGATTCCTGTATAATTAGGGGTTCTCCATGTTGGTCAAGCTGGTCTCGAACTCCTGACCTCAGGTGATCCGCCTGCCTTGGTCTCCCAAAGTGCCGGGATTACCCGCTTAGTAACTTTTCACCTGAAAGTTGTATCGTTATTAGGAACTTAATATTAAACATTTTTATTCACATTGCTTTTGTTAATATTTTGGTTTCAAAGTGGCATAGGGATGGTCTTCCTTTTTTTTTCCCCTCATAAAATGCCTGTTACTTTTAGCATGTGACCCTATAAAGTGAAGTTTACCGGGAATGCATATACTGTTTTATAGAATGCGCAGAAGAAACATTTATACTTATTTTAAAAATCTGGTACTACATTAGATGCCCAGTAAGTGTCATTTTTTTCTCTTTCCCCTTCCTTTAAGGGTTTTTGATCACACTCAGTATAAAGTTCAAACATCTTAGCCTATGAGGGTCCCTCCTCCCCAACATCTGCCGTGTGATCTGGCCCCTGGCCACCTCACAAACCTTATCTTGTTTCACCTTGTTCACGGTGCCCAGCTCTTCCAGCTCCACACCCACTGAACAAGCTTATTCCTGTCTCAGCGTCTTAATTGCTTTGTTCTTTGCCTCATACTCTTCTGCCCTGAGATTGTTATATAGCTGATTCTTTTATGTCATTCACTCTCAGTTCCAATGCCAACATCTCAGAGAGGTTACACTGAAATTACTGCCCACCCGTGGCAGTTTTCAGCCATAAGACCCTTATTCTCCACGTTGCAGTTTTGTCTTTCTGAAGTAACTTTGATCATTTTTTTTTTTTTTTTAACTTCCCTCCAGAATTTAAACTGCATGAGAACAGGGATGGGCTCTACTTTATGTGTCATTCTGTCTGCAGCTACCTAGAACAGGACCTAGCAGGTTCATAATAAATACTTGAGAGGATTGTTGTCTTAGATGTGTTTTCATGATTAGCTGGTAGTCTTAAATTGGTTCATCCTTATAATTAGAATACTGGAAATAATTTATTAAAAGGTCAACATATAGGGGCGGGTCAGAAGAGGTGGTACTAAATGTTTAAATTTGGAAGCTCAGGGACATATGTGAGTGCTGTACTTAAAGATGACAGTCGAGTCAAATAATAGCAAAAACAGGTAAATGGATAATTGATGGACCAGTCTGAAAATGTGCTTTGTACTGATACTCATAAATGAGAAGTTAATGTTTTATTTTTATTTTTTATTATTTTTTTGAGTCTCACTCTGTCGCCTAAGCTGGAATGCAATGGCACGACCTCAGCTCACTGCAACCTCTGCCTCCTGGGTTCAAGTGATTCTCCTTCCTCAGCCTCTTAAGTAGCTGGGATTATGGGCGCATGTCACCATACCTGGTTAATTTTTGTGTTTTTAGTAGAGATGGGGTTTCACCATGTTGGTCAGGCTGGTCTCGAGCTCCTGACCTCATGATCCTCCTGCCTTGGCCTCCCCAAGTGCATGGGTCAGTACTCCTTTAGTTGTATGATAGAAACCTCATGCAAATTTTTGGCTTAAGTTAAAAAGGGGATTCACTGGCATTGGCATAGGCATATGGAATCCAACAGTGGACTGAATGATTGGGGAGATCATTGAGTCAGCTGGGATTTAGGAGCAACCAGAACCAGACACATTTGGATGCTACCAGTAATCTCTGTCAACAGCCCTACTTTTTTCCATTTTTTAAAAACTGAGATGACTTCCCTTTATTGCCCAAGCTGGAGTAGTATAGTGGTGTGATCACTGCTTACTGCAGCCTTGACCTCCTGGGCTCAAGGAATCCTCCCACCTCAACCTCCTCAGTAGCTGGGACTACAGATGTACCCCACCATAGCCATCTAATTTTTTTATTTTTTATTTTTGAGATGGAGTTTTTCTCTTGTTGCCCAGGCTGGAGTGCAATGGCGCAATCTCCGCTCACTGCAACCTCCGCCTCCCGGGTTCAAGTGACTTTCCTGCCTCAGCCTCCCAAATAGCTGGGATTACAGGCATGCGCCACCACGCCTGGCTGATTTTTTGTGTTTTTAGTAGAGATGGGGTTTCTCCATGTTGACCAGGCTGGTCTCGAACTCCTGACCTCAGGTGATCTACCTGCCTTGGCCTCCCAAAGTGCTGGGATTATAGGCATGAGCCAACGTGTCCGGCCCTCTTTTTTTTTTTTTTTTTTTTTTGAGACAAAGTCTTGTTTTCTTGCCCAGATTTGAGTGCAGTGGCGTGATCTTGGCTTGCTGTAACCTCCACCTACCGGGGTTCAAGTGATTCTCCTACTTCTGCCTCTCAAGTACCTGCGTCTACAGGTGAGCACCACTACGCCTGGCTAACGCTTGTGTTTTCAGTACAGACAGGGTTTCACCATTTTGGCCTGGCTCGTCTTGAACTTCTGTCCTTGGGTGATCCGCCTGCCTCCCAAATGCTGGGATTACAGGTGTGAGCCACCTCGCCTGGCAGAATTTGCCTTCTCAAAATGATATACACAGTAAAAAATTTGATGCTATTCATTTTGATTTGCTTTTTAACATTCTGCTAATTTGACAAGCTAATGGGAACTGACATTTGAAGGCTCTTGTTAGGAAATTATCAACAGATTCATTTTACAAATTTAGGTTATGTTTTAATCTCTGAGGAATATAATAACCACCTCTATCCTAATCAAACTTTTTTTTTTTTTTTTTTTTGAGATGGAGTCTCACTTTGTCGCCCAGGCTGGAGTGCAGTGGTGTGATGTCAACTCACTGTAACCCCTGCCTCAGCCTCCCAAGTAGCTGGGACTACAGGTGTGTGCCACTGTGCCTGGTTAATTTTTGTATTTTTAGTAGAGACGGGGTTTCACCACGTTGACCAGGCTGGTCTTGAACTCCTGACTTCAGGTGATTCACCCGCCTCGGCCTCCCAAAGTTCTGGGATTACAGTTGTGAGCCACCGTGCCCAGCCATAATCAAACATTTAAATAATATTAGCACTTAAGAAAATTAACCGGTGGTTCGCACATGTATTCCCAGCACTTTGGGAGGCCGAGGTGGGTGGATCCCCTGAGGTCAGGAGTTCGAGACCAGCCTGGCCAACATGGTGAAATCCCATCTCTGTTAAATATACAAACGTTAGCCAGGCGTGGTGGCTCAAGTCTGTAATCCCAGCTACTCAGGAGGCTCAGACAGGAGAATTGCTTGAGCCCAGGAGGCGGAGGTGTCGCAGTGAGCCGATCGCACCACTGCACTCCAGCCTGGGCGACAGAGCGAGACTCTATCTCAAAAACAAAAAACAAGAAAATTAGCGAGTTACATATTCTGAACAACTTACTATTTTAATGCTGCATCAGGTCACCAAAATAAGTAAATGGGTTGCCATGTAGAATAAACCTTTTATGACTTAAGAGATTTGTTTCTGGATTTCAGTTGCTTCATCTTTAACACATTGTGTTGAATCTCTGAGAGGTTTTTTCTGGACCTAATGCTCTTTAACCCTATCATTGCATATAATTAAAAAATTAAGTGTGTTCACCCAAATTACAGGGAGTATGTACAATACTGATGTCTGCCTGCACTGGTTTTTCTTAAAACATTTGCGTTTTCCAGGCACCTTGTCAATTTTGAATACATTAGTCTTAAAATATTTTTTAGATATCTGAAGAGGAAACTTGTATATTATTCATTAAACTTGCGAGTTCAGGTGAGTTTGTTACATTCTGTTTCATGGAAGAGATAATTAAAATAATATCACCAAACACATTTTCAAGAATGATTTTTTTTCCTTTAAAATCTTTATTTTCATGGTGTGATTCCTGAATGTCAAAGCCAATTCTTCAGCAGCTAAGCTCTTATTTTGCTTTGTCTTAGAAATTATGTACTAAAAATATGTTTAAGTACTATGAGAAAATGTTACTTACATTTATAATCTTTTAAATATTAAAAGAAGTTTCAGGAGCTGCTTATATTAAATGCTAATTGAGAACCAGTGTACATTAAAATAATTTACCATAAAAAATAAGACATGAGAAGAAGGCAGGTATCAGGGAGTAAAGCTGCCAAACAGCTTTGTCTTTTCTGGCAAACAGTTTGGTTTATGTCTAGCATACGGTTTTTAAGTTGGTAAGTGATGAGAAGGAGCTAGAAATTGGTAAGCAGGGCTCATATCATAAAGTGGCTTCTTTGCTGTGCCTAAGGACATTCCTCTGACAGTAAAGGGAACTAGTGAAGGATTTTAAACAGAATGGCAGGATTATGTTTCAGCCTTGGATATGTAGTATGTGAAGGATGAGATGAGGGTTTGGGAGGGAACGGCCTTAGCTCTGGACAGGGGAGAAAGTTGAGCTGGTAGTAGTGTAATAGGTGTGAACGACACCAGTAATTCTTGGAGTATTGCAAACTAGTTCATGTTTCTGAATTCAGCAAAAAAAAGCAATTGGAGATTCACAAGAGAATGGTATTGAAAACAGCTAAGCATCCGGGTCCCCTTTCTGACTTGCTACTGCTTCTTTTTTTCTGGGGAACAGGAGTAGGAAGATTGGGAGTTTGTTGGGATGGGGAATTAATTTGCTTCTGAATAACTAATGGACAAAAGCTAAAGCAGGAGGGTGTGCAATGGGGAAGTTGCTATTGAGAATGAAGCATTCTTTCTCATAATAACCTTTTTTTTTTTTTTTTTTTTTGTTGAGACAGAGTCTCACTCTCTCACCCAGGCTGGAGTGCAGTGCTGTGATCTCAGCTCACTGCAAGCTCCGCCTCCTGGGTTCACGCCATTCTCCTGCCTCAGCCTCCCCAGTAGCTGGGACTACAGGCGCCCACCACCATGCCCAGCTAATTTTTTTGTATTTTTAGTAGAGACGGGGTTTCACTGTGTTAGCCAGGATGGTCTTGATTTCCTGACCTCTCCGCCTCGGCCTCCCAAAGTGCTGGGATTACAGGCGTGAGGCACTGCACCTGGCCTGTCATCGTAATAACCTTAACCAAGGGATAAGTTAATTAAGTTGGATGCTTATTTGAGAATAGTCACGTGAAAAATCAATTGGTATAAGTAGTTCATGAAGTTACTAGTGGATGTAATTTTTGAATTTCAGGTTAGTCCCTTTTTCATATATTTTGACAACTTTTTTTTTTTTTTTTTTTTTAGGCGGGGTCTCGCTCTGTTGCCCTGGCTGGAGTGCAGTGGCGCGATCTCGGCTCACTGCAAACTCCGCCTCCCGGGTTCCCGCCATTCTCCTGCCTCAGCCTCCCAAGTAGCTGGGACTACAGGTGCCCGCAACCGCGCCTGGCTAATTTTTTGTATTTTTAGTAGAGACAGGGTTTCACCGTGGTCTTGATCTCCTGACCTTGTGATCTGCCCGCCTCGGCCTCCCAAAGTGCTGGGATTACAGGCGTGAGCCACCGCGCCTGGCCTTATTTTGACAACATTTCTAAAGATTTTACATTAATATAAAAGTCATTAGAATCTCTTTGATAACATTGGAGTGTTAATCTGGATTAAATAATGTATAATTGATTATAGTTTAAAAATACTAACATTTGAAATAATTTTAGACTTAACAGAAAGTTGCAAGGATAGTACAAAGTTCCAGTGTACCCTCACTTTGCTTCCTCAGTGTTATAGTCTTACCTAACCATGGTGTATTTATCAAACCTAAGAAATGAATATTGATATAATACCAAACTATTAGGTTTTATTTCGATTTCCCTAGTTTTTTTCCACGAATGTCTTTTTTTCTGTTCCAATAGCCAATCCAGGTTCTCATGTTGCATTTGTCTCCTTAGTCTCCTCTGACCTGTAACAGTTTCTCAGTCTTTCCCCTTTTTCATGACCTGGACAGTTTTAAATGGTTCTGGTTTGTCTCATATTTGTAATGATTATACTGAGATTTTGGGTAGAACACCATAGAGTTGATGTGCCTGTTTCATCACATCGTACCAAACAGGGGGCACTTATTGGTAAATCTTAGTCTTGGTGATGTTAATTTTATCTCTTGGTTAAGATAATGTGTGCCAAGTTCCTTCGCTCTGAAATTACTGTTTTTTGCTTCTCAGCCTGCTCATTAGTGGGTCTACTAATCTAGCCCTCATGCAAGGCAAAGGGATGTTAAGTTCTACATGCTAGAGGGAAAAGCATCGAAAAATTTGTGGACATATGTTAAAATCACCATGGTAATTAAGAAATATAGTGTTTTGTTTTGTTTGAAATGGAGTTTTGCTCTTGTTGCCCAGGCTGGAGTGCAGTGGCGCGATCTTGGCTCACTGCAACCTCCGCCTCCCAAGTTCAAGCGATTCTCCTGTCTCAGACTGTGGAGTAGCTGGGATTACAGGCATGCACCACCCCGCCCGGCTAATTTTATGTGTTTTAGTAGATATGAGGTTTCTCCATGTTGGTCAGGCTGGTCTCAAACTCCTGACCTCAGGTGATCCGCCCATCTCGGCCTCCCAAAGTGCTGGGATTACAGGTGTGAGCCACCGCGCCCCGTCGAAGACATATGTTAAAACCACCATGGTAATTAAGAAATACTTTGGGGAGATACTTTGAGGCTGTGAAGATAGCCATTTTTTTCCTTGAAAGTTTTATCCAATAATTTTGGCATTCATCAGTGGATCTCGTCTGTAGCAATACTTACTGTGGCTGTTCTCTTCTCTCCTCCCTTCTCCCCTCTCCCCTCTCCCCTCTCCCCTCTCTCCTCTCTCCTCTTTCTCCTCTCTTTTTTGAGATGAGGGTCTTGCCTTGTCACTCATGCAGGAGTGCAGGGGTGCGATCATGGCTCACTAACGTTCAGCTCCTGGGCTCATGCGATCCTCCTGCCTTGGCCTCCCAAAATGCTGGGATTAGAGGCATGAACCACTGCATCTGGCCGATGACTGGTTTTCTAATGGTGTAATTTTTCTAGTTTCCTTATTCCTTTTTACATGCATTAATTGGATTTTCTTTTCTTTACAGGAGATTTGTTCCTTTTCTCCTGTTTGTTTACTTATTTATTCACTCATTCCATGATTTATGTCAGTGTGGACTTGTGGATATTTTTGTTCTTTGGTTTATAATTTATTTTTTTTTTGAGACGGGAGTTTCGCTTTGTCTCCCAGGCGGGAGTGCAGTGGCATGATCTTGGCTCACTGCAGCCTCTGCCTCCCGGGTTCAAGTGATTCTCCTGCTTTAGCCTCCCAAGTAGTTGGGATTACAGGCGTGTACCACCACGCCCAGTTAATTTTTTGTATTTTTAGTAGAGACAGGATTTCACCATGTTAGCCAGGTTGGTCTCGATCTCCTGACCTATCTGCCTGCCTCGGCC